GATTGAAAAAATTGCAGATTTGCGTTCTTAACCACAACACACGAGGATAATTCCAATGAAGAATTTTGGACGTTCTTCGAGTAGCTGCCCAAATTCATGCTCAAACGCAAAATGGTACAGTAATGACGACAAGCAGGTTTCCTGAAATTTAAAGGGTCATTAAGAAAGCTTTTATGTACATTAAATTCCATAAAACAATTCATATATCAGCCGCTCTTTACAGTAGTTATTCATACTGTAAGAAAAAAAAATCGTTAACAAATATCCACTGCATTTTTGACATACACCACATTTTATCAACAGCGTTGCTGGTAAACGTGAATAAAACCATAACGTACAAAAGGCGGCTAAGCTTTATGTTATAACCTTTTAATCGATGCATCGAAAACTAACCAAAGGTAATTTTTCACATGCGTTGGCCTACGTCGACGGACGAACGGCCGGAGTCAACTCATGTAGGATTAACGTGGAAATTTCACAACAAATGTCAGCCATTGCTGATGTACGACAAGTTCACTTGCTTGGCGCTCGTTTTCTCTGTTCGACTGGATCTGTCATGGCAAATGGGTCGTGTTTCTGTCCCGTCGTTGTCGGACTTCGTCTTTCAGAGGTAGGTCTGAAACGAAACGCACGTGTTTACCATTTTACAGCATGATGACGATCGCTTACATTACCTGCTTTTTGCTGACAAAATTTACCGTAATATGGGAACCTGCAGTAGCAATAGCCGTTCATGCACTTGCCGGTATGGAGGCACTTCGGACTGCATGATTCCGATGCTGAAATTACAACGCCATTAATCATAACTCACGTAAATTAATAATTACTATGTTGACAGAAATGACCATGGAATCCTTTTGGACAGGCGCATACTCCCCGATGCGTGCACACACCTCCGTTTTCACACGCCGGGTTGCACGTGGTTTGCTTCTTTTCTAAACGAACCGTAAACACGTGGGTATTCGACCAATCGCGGTCGCGCTGTCCTTACTTAGTTTGCCGTCGCTCTTCCGGATCTTGCAGCACAGTACGCCGGTGATCTTGTGGTTTTTCCTGTACAGACATCCACCCCCGCCGTTGTTCTTGATGAACTTGTCGCTGTACACCTGCATATGACGTCTGTCGAAGCACTTTCTACTCATCCTAATCGAGTTGCGAGACTTTTCGTTGACGGCACAGTCTTTTCCCAGTGCCGCCATACTGTAGTGATTGATACACCTGGTGGAAAGTGCAACTGTTAGGTTATTGAATTATCGATTGATGAAGAATAAGGCTACGACTGCTTGGTCACAGACCCACTACCTTCTGCATTTAGTTGCTGTCTGCGCTGCATTGTACGCGAAACACCCACCGTATTCAGACCAGTAACGCGAATTGACCGTCTTGAACAACGGTTTGTCCTTTGGGCCGCACACACGCCAACCTTTGCTGCAAAGCGATTGGCCGGCTCGTTTCACATGGCCTGAAACAGCGGTATCAGAGTTTAAGTGCAGACGTCGCTCGAACTTCATTGCATATCAGTTGATAACGTATTTACTGTCTGAGTAGTGAGTATTCCGCTCACCGCGTTCTTCTTCAAGCTCCGTTGACAACACTCCTGTCCGACAGCACTGCCTGGCAAATATCATTGAAGCATGATTATGCCATCTGAAACAGGGCTGCCGCGGCGGTGCGAGAAAACTATCGGACAAACTGCCAAGAGTGAATGGAGGAAGTGAGTTCAAAACTTTTCATATGTAGACGTGTTGGAGGACAATACAAAACATGAAACCACCTGTGTAATGCAGACTTGTTTATTTTGCAACAAACTCTGGGGGAACACTCGCAAAACGAGTCAAAGGTTTGACAATAGTGGCAATCCTAAGCTTAATTGACGACGGCTTTGATTCCCAGCAAAATGTTTACCAAAACGCTTTCAAAATGATTAAATTCGACGTTGAGAGCCTCTTTGACACCATTTCAGTCAGCAAAGCCCTTTCCATTCTACCAAAGGTTTAAAAAAGCGAAACACATCTGGTGCATTGAAAGTTAATCGCTAAAAGATTTGCATTTCATAAATCACAGAGGTTCTGAAGGTGATTCTTTCAAACATTTGCTTTGAATATGACAAAGCATTTGTCGCAAATTTTATGAGGTTGTCATGGGATCTCCTCTCAGTGCTACCATTGCGGCAGTTTTCATGAATAACTTTGATTTGGGCGTTTTGGATCCTTGTCCTCCTGACGTGAGCCTTTCTACAGCACGTACAATGATGGCATCTGTGTGCTTCTTAGAGCAGACCTCTACTTAATCACATAAACGCTGTTGACCATGAAAAGAGGTTAGAGTTCACAATCGAAATAGAAGAAAATAATATTATTTACTTTCTGGATCTCAAGATAAAGAAAGGTGTGATAAGCATCCGTCTGTTTCAATCTAAGAACAAAACTGCAACAACTTCTAACATCATAATTCTGCCGTTTATCAATCATGTTAAACTAATATTATCATCCATATGCGTAGAAGAAAGATATCACATTATAACTATCCTTCTGTACGCAATTCAAAATCTTTCGTGTGTATTTGAAATATTTACGATAACAGTATTCTTCCCCATCACCTCTTTCACCATAGTTGTAATCATCACTCCCCCTCTCCCCAATGAATATGCAGAAATATTGTAAACTAACACTTAACATGCATGCATGATTTACTTCGCTCAATCATTGTCTAATGTTTGATTCACGTCATCTTGCATGGTGAACACTTGGCAACTGGCGATGTGCCTAAAACTTAGGCTATTTACAAAATGGATTGCAAAGATTTTCATTGTCATAACAAAAGCCACCCTAAAAATCCTTTGAAGGCACATATGAAGTGAATCCTAGCATTGAAGATAAAAACGTTCTGCCACTGTGAAATTGGCCATGGATAACCTGCATCGAACTGGCGGCAAGGACGTGAAGATTTCAGACCGTGATAGCACCACTGCCAGTCTAACGACACGTGATTCCCCGCGTCTGAGCCATTTCGGTTTGAAAGATTTTCTCACCATTGTAATCTCGTCTCCAGCAATTACGTTTCCACTGTCTAATCTTCATGTATAAATGCATTTTCATTTGTATCATTTTTTTCATTTCCTTTTCTTTTTATTTCTGCTCATGTTTCAATCCCATCCGTGATTTAATTTTCTGCCCTTCTGTTTCATTTGCATATTTTTGTTGTAATATTTATTATCTACCTGCTCATCCTTGTTACTGCTACTACGAATTCATCTTTGCACACTATCGCGGAACGCGTTTTCAGGCTCAAAAGGCAGTATTTATTAAATAACTTTTCCAGGTTTCTAATAGTGTCATTATTTGTCTGTTCACAGAGGAACTATAACGAACTTAAAAATTTATTCATAATACCCAGCTTCTAGAAATGTGCCTATTGCTAAACCCTTCAAATTTTTTTAAAAGTTTTAAGACCTCAGTAGTTGCCTGACAATTTAACGAAGAGTTTTTATGAACAGTATGAATTTTACCCTTCCAGCTGCCAGCGCAGCCGACGATGTCTTGTGAATCGTGAAACCCTTCCGAAGTTCCATCGGCGCATCCTTCGGACCGAACTATAAATGTCACGAAGTTATGCTGGATACGTAAATCTTCATGCATGGGACGAAAGAACGATTTAAAACAGATTTGGCTTCATTTTGCAAATTCAGAACTACAAGAGAATACCTGGTTTGATGGTGATGTTGAAACTTTGCACTGAGGTTGAGGCTTTGTTCTTCAGGGCGCATTCGTAAGTGCCGCTGTCAGCTGGCAATGCCATTTCCAGCGCGAACTGTGCTGAATAAAACCGATGATACTAATGCGTCGTCGTACGGCTGAGTTCCGCCTTACTATTCGTCTGGTCGCTGATCACATTGCCATTCTTCGTCCACTGCACGGGGTTGCTGCCGGCACTTGGCGACGGGCCCACGGGACAACGAAGAACCACTTTCTCCCCGGTCATCCGGTGCATCT